GGGATAAGGCCTGCAGGGAAGGGTATTTGGGGGCAACCATTCCTGTAGGGGAGGGCAGTTGGGGGGGGACCAGGCCCACAGAGGAGGGAGTTAGGGGCAATTGGGCCAGTAGGGGAGCAGTTAGGCGTCGATCAGGCTGGCAGGAGAGTGGTTAGGGGGTGATCAGGCTGGCTAGCAGAAATAGTTAGGGGCAATCAGGCAGATGAGTGATTAGGAGCCAGCAGTCCTGGATTGTGAGAGGGATTGGGCCACTGGGATTGGGCCTAAACAGGCAGTCAAACATCCCTTGAGGGGTCCCTGATTGGAAATGGTGCAGGCTGGGCTGAGGGACAACCCTCCTCTTCCCCCGCCCCCCACACACATGGATTTTGTGCATTGAGCCTCTAGTATATATATATAAAAGGCTAATGTGCAAAGTGTCCCCTTGGGAAGTTTGATCGCTCACTATGATGTGTGCTGACCACCAGGGGGTAGTGTGGACCGAAGGAAGGCCCTGGACAGGAGCCAGCATCTGGGGAAGGAAGGCCCGGCTGGTAGCTGGCAGCTGGAAGTTTCTGATCACTGGCCAGGCCTAGGGACCCTACCTGTGCGCTGGGCCTCTAGTTCTTAGATAACTATGGTAGGATAATGTCATGGCTAGGTACTAATACCCTTCCATAGTTTTCTGCTTTTCCATTGTAATAGGCGTAACACAGACATGAGCAGAGCAAGGATGATGGACCATGCACCGGGAGTCACCAGGGCAGAAAGCCCTCAGTGTCTAGCAACAGGCTGAAAATAAGGACCTGAGAAAATAAGGATCTCACCCCCACACTAATCTTTCTCCCTCAGCATATAGCTGGTCATGTGGTTTGGCTGCCTGACCTTTTAAATTGCTGGTCATGTGGTTTGGCCTCCCGACCTTTCACACTACTCGTCACGTGATTTAGACCCCTGGACTTGTCTCTCAAAAGATAACATGTAGGCCTCAGTTATATTTCAGTTCCAGGCTCAGAAAAGCACCAAAACCAGACAAGTGACACTGGGGCTGCCTCAGGGCCAACTGCATTGACTAATGACCCCCACCTTGGTGTGAACTAATCAATGTAGACTATGACCCTGAGAGAGCACACATAGCTGATGAAATTCTAATGAAACCCTCCTCAAAGACCTCCCTTAAGATTTCTGCCAAGAGAAAGATAAATACTCTCAGAGCAAGCTCTGGAAAGCACACCTGTGCCGTTCCCTTCCCCTTCTCCTTCCCTCTAAGACTGGTTGCCAACTAGGGGTTCTCAAACCACTGATGGTCTGCAAGGTCCGGAAGATTGGTTGGCAACTAATGCTCTAAGCCCCACAAGATTTATAACCAGGGCAGTAATGGGCAGCGGCAGCTCGTCCCGGGCCAACCCCCTGACCCTGTCTCTAAGGTCCTCCTCTCTCTGACTTCCCAGTGAGCCAAAGTGGCCCAGCCTAGGCTCTCCTGTTACTTCTTCTATGCTCTTCCTTGTTACACTGCCCTAGGCGTGTTTTGCTGTGGCCATTAAACGTTGCTTCCTTTGCTGCACTTTGTCTCTTGATTGAAATCTTTCCTTCAAGAAGACAAGAACAGCAGCACCATCCCAACATTGATGAAAAGTATTATTGCCCACTGTAACAATTCAAACAATATGTACTCACTGTGACAATTCAAAAAACGTTTATAAAGGGACAGCCTTAGCTGGTTTGGCTCAGTAGATACAACATCGGCCTGCAGACTGAAAGATCCTGGGTTTGATTCCAATTAAGGGCACATGCCTGGGTTGCGGGCTCGATCCCCAGTAGTGAGTATGCAGGAGACAGCTGATCAATGATTCTCTCTCATCACAGATGTTTCTATCTCTCTATCCCAATTCCTTTCTCTCTGGAATCAATACATACACACACACATACACACACTAGAGGCCCATTGCAGGAAGATTCCTACAATAGGGATTCCTGCTGTGGTCGCCGCCCCACCTGTTTCCCTCCCTTCTCCCCTAGGCTGCCTGCTTCCTTCCCTTCTCCCTTGCCCTGTTAGCTTGTTTCTCCGCAGCTTCGCTCCCTTCTGCAGTACTTGGTTTCTTTCTATGCTGTGTTCAGTCTTTGATCTGGCCTGGATATGCAAATTAACTATCACATTGATTGGGTTAATTTGCATACTTGCCCTGATTGGCTGGTGGGTGTGGCTTGTGGGTGTAGTGAAGGTAATGTCAATTTGCATGTTTCATTTTTATTAGATAGGATGTATATATTAGAAAAGACACTCTACTTCTTTTATCCAAAATTAATGAGTGTTAAAGTATTTAACTAATCTTCATTTTTAAACATTTGTCTCAATCTTTTCCTATTTTAAAGAATAGAGATACACACTACTGCATATACATCTTTGGGCACTTGTCTTCCTGACCAAACTTCAGAAAAATTACATCTCTTTAAAGCTTATGGAAAGTGATGTCTTTCTTGTCCTCACTGTGAAAAACATACAGGAGTGGAAACTGTATTCAGAAGTTTGGCCCATAATTGGGAAAAAAAAAGCATAGTTAGGGGCTATAGGAGTAGCACACTAATGAAGAAAGGCAGACAATTAAGACCTATAATATTTTCCACTTCTGTATTTCCACTTGGCTTCAGAAAATTACATGTATTTTCATCTAGGAATAGACAAGATAAAAATAGAAGAGGGTAAAAAAATTAGACTTTTATCTACCTGTCTCAACAGAAAATAGAAAAATACATCTCTTGGATAATTTGACAATTTTGTCTCCACTTATCTTGCCTGTCCTCTTCCTCAGATTAATTTTTTCCCTAAAGCATAACCAGAGGCAGTTAAAGCCTGCTTGGATGTAACTGAATTTTGACTTGCTTTATTTAATCTACACAGTGTAGCAATTTTTAAAATTTGGATGTCTTTAGAAAGGGCACGTGCACTCCAGTTCATCACAGTCCTCAGGATTTTACCTTCTTACATTTCAGCATTCTGTTTACTGAGGATGCCGGCCTGACATTTGCCACCTCATCTAAAATAACTGTAAGAAATTCAACTATCATAAAGTAGTGGTTTAAAAACTAAAAAACAAAACAAAACAAAAACAACCCACAAAAATTAAATAAAAACAAAATAAAAAACATAGTAGTAGTTCAGGCCAGTCTTAAAGAGTCTATTTCATCTTAAACTCAGTATTAAAAAGATATTAATCAACAAAGCACAATACAAGCTATCAACTGTTCATTGCTACTTGACTTAACTTAGGCTTCATTTTATTTTCAAAGAATCATCACATTTTTCCTTACATAACAGGTACTTCAAGACACAAAACCCTTAGTTCTGGTAGCATTGCTAATGACCTGCAGCAACATAGCACACTGGTTAAGAATAAACACCTATACCAGGCTTCCCGGATTCAATACCTGGATCAGCTATGTGATCTCAAGTAAGCTAACCTGGGTGTCTCTCACGTATTTCATCTGTAAAATGAGGATTATACCCATAGTTACTTCATCGGGTAGGTATGATGATTAAATGAACAGTACCTAGCACAAAGTAGATTTATGTATACAACTAGAAGCTCGATGCACAAAATATAGGGGACGTGGGGTGTCCCTTCAGACCAGCCTGCACCCTTTCCAATCCAGGACCCTTCTGGGGATGTCTGACTGCCAGTTTAGGCCTGATCCCCAAACCGGCAGTCAGACAACCCTCTCACAATCCTGGACCAATGGATCCTAATCGCTCATCTGCCTGCCCGTCTGCCTGGGCACCCTAACTGCCACCCCCTGAAGGCCTGATCACCTTTAACTGCCCCCCGCAGTAAGGGGTGACCAGGCTGGTGGAGGGGAGTGCAGTTAGGAGCAACCAGGCTGGCAGGGAGGGGGCAGTTGGGGGCCACCTGGCTGGCGGGGGGATTCTCCAGGTGGCCCCCAACTGCCCCCTCCCTGCCAGCCTGGTTGCTCCTAACTGCACTCCCCTCCACCAGCCTGGTCACCCCTTACTGCACCCCTACCAGCCTAGTCACTCCTCACTGCCCTTCCTGCCAGCCTAACTGCCCCCAAATATCCGCCCCCTCCCCCCCCGCTGGCCTTGTCTCCCCTCATAGCCTCCCCCCCTCCCCAACTGGCCTAGTCACCCCATGCAGCCTGTTGCTCAGTAGTTTGGTCGTTCCTCACTACCCCCTTGCTGGCCTGGTTGTAGGCAGCCATCTTGAGAGGGTGTGATGGTCAATTTGCATATTACCTCTTTATTATATAAGATATATGTGTGTGTATTATATATTGTAGAATACAATATGTATAGTATATATGATATGCTTCAATTAAAAAAAAAAGGTTTAAAATGTAAGGGCAGCCCTGGCCAGTGCTGCTCTATGGTTAGAGTCTTGGTCCTCACACTGACGGATTGCAGGTTTGATCCCCACCACCAGTTGGGGCGCATGCAGGAAGCAACCAGTTGATGAGTCTCTCTCACATCTGATGTTTCTTTCTCTCCCTCTTCCCCTCTCCCCTCCCTTTCACTCTCTGAAAACAAATAAGAAAAATATCCTCAGGGGAGGATTAAGAACAAACAACCCCACAGAAAACAAAGCTTGTGAGCATAAGGGCAGTCCTCACTTTGCATAGTCCTGTGAGACCGTAAAAATGCCTGTGCAAGCTGAAACTGCAAAGTCATTTTAATAATCAATGGGAAAAATTACCATTGTTTCATGACCTTTACATTTTTTTTGTCAAAACATTAAAAACTGTTAAAAATATGAAAAATGAAAAAAGTAAAATTATTATTTATTAGGGATACCATAATTTAAAACATTAGAAACACTAAAAAAATTAAGTGTTTTATTTCTTTGAAAAACTTACAAGAGTAGTTTAAACAGTATAGCTTAGGATACAGAGAGAACATCTTTTCTAAGCTTAGTAAACTGTCATATCCCTTGCTAAGTCTGGATAACTCAAGCACATGATAGCATGGTCTATGATACAGAAAAGGTATAACATAATGAAGACAGACTTACATTGTATTGATGATTGGCAACAGGTTTGTAATTGGTTGTCACAACTTTGTCCAGTTGTTGTGATAGCCGTACAGGTTTAGAAGATTCTTCTATTTGCAATCTGAAAAATAAAAGGCACTATTAACAAATCCCCTTGTTTATTATTATTATTAGAGTGAAACCTGAAGAGTTAGTCCTATAATTCTTCTTCCTCAAGAACTAATACTTAATACATAAAAAGTAACCTCAGAAGACATACCAACTTTAATATAATACTTCAAAAACACACTGAATGTATGACTATCATGTAGAAACCAGACCATAAGCTAAACATACAAGCTCATTGTGATTCTATAACTTCCTTCTAACCATATACTGATAGTCAAACTTTTATTAAAACAAATTATTTCTGGAAAAAAAATCTGCATGTAAAAATGAATTACTGTATCTTAAATCATTTGGCCTAAAACTAATCAAGTTATTAATTCAGAAATTCTATTCATTTAATGACAGGGTAAATAAAAAGATAATACATTGCCACTCAGGGTCTAGTGGCTGCTTTATTAGACAATACAGACATAGAATATTTCGATCATCAAAGCAATTATTATTAGACTGCACTAGTCTATTTTAGGACTCCTCTAAATTAAAACATAACTCAAAATATCACCTTTAAAAAAAAATCCTCACCTGAGGATAATTTTTTCATTGATTTTTTTTTTTTTTTTTTTAAGAGAAAGGAAGGGGGATAGGGAAGACAGATAGAGAAACATCGATGTGAGAAAGACACATTGATTGGCTGCGCCCCTGTACACACCCCAACTAGGGCCAGGGATCAAACCTGCAACCCTTTGGTGTATGGGTCAATGTTCTAACCACTGAACTATACCAGCCACGGTTCAAAATACCACTTTTGAAAAAAAAAAAAAAAAAAAAGCCAAAAATATACATGACTGTGTACAGCATATTATAAAACATAATACTTGCCGGGACCAGTTTGGCTCTATGGATAGAGCGTCGGCTTGGGGACTGAAGGGTCCCAGGTTCGATTCTGGTCAAGGGCGTGTACCTTAGTTGCGGGCATATCCCCAGTGGAGGGTGTGCAAGAGGCAGCTGATCGATGACTCTCTCTCATCGATGTTTCTAGCTATCTCTCTCCCTTCCTCTCTGTATAAAATCAATAAAATATATTTTAAAAAAAAATAAAACATAATACTTGACCAGTATATGTATATATTCAAGTAGCACTCTTAGGTAATTTTGTTTTGTACTAAATGTTATATTTCATGACTCACATTTTACCATTTACCCTTATTTTAAAAATTACATGAATTCATTTTTTATATCAGCACAGTAATCTAAAAAAATGTGACTATTTTTAAACAACAAAATGTATCATTGAACCTTTAGAATTCTCATCAGTAAGATCAGAATAAAAGAATATATTTAAAGCACTACAAGGAAAACAATTGCCAACCACATCTAGCTAAATTATAATTGAAGAGTACCTGGTAAGAGTGAAATAAAAGAACTTTTGAACAAAAAATAAGTCTATCATTGATAGGTCCCCACTGAGAGAACTAATCAAGACCTTTTTCAGAAAGAAGGAAAATGAACGCAAAAGAAACTAGTGAGATGTAATGGTCATAGCAAAGAAATTGAGAACCATGATAGAAAGTTGCCCACTCAATAAACAAAAAAAGGTGTTTTGTTGTGTTTTATTAAGAAAATAAAGTGCATGAAAGGTAGAAAGGAAGAAATCAGAATTAATGTATTTCTGACTCCTTTGTTTTGTAAATCCTTACCCAAGGATATTTTTCCATTGATTTTTTGAGAGAAGATCAATGTGAGAGAGGCTCATCCCTTGGTTGCCTCTGCCTTACTGGGGATGGAGATCAAACTCTGCAACCCAGGCACATGTCCTTGACCAGGAATCAAACCCATAATCTTTTGTTCTCTACTGAGTAAACCCACCAAGGCAGAATTAATTCATTTTAAGGTTTCTATGTTTTCTAAATTTTCTGCAATGAGCATCTATTACATTTATAATCAGAAAGGAAGTATATTTTCTTAAAGAAAAAATAATTTCTTAGAAGGTTAGTTAAAAAACATAAGACATTTGTCACTGAAAAGCAATGCATGTTCAAGGATCCAAGATGACGATGGAGAGGAAATTCAGACACTGATACGTTCAGAGGAGACACAATGTAAAGACACAGGGAAGATGACTGTCCACAAGACAAGGAAAGGGGCCTGGAATAACCCTTCCTCATGGCCCTCAGAAGGCACCAATCCGGCAGACTCTAGTCTCGAATCCAGAACTGTGTGAAAATAAATTCCTGTTGCTTAAGCCTAAATAAATGAAAGCAACACATTTAACATCATATATTACTTTAGTTGAGTGGGACTTTAAATTCTTTGGCTCATTAGAATAGAAACTAAAAATAATTTTCATTTAAAATTCCTACCAAAGCACAACTTGCAGTTCTAATAATATTTATTAGAGGCCTGATGCATGAAATTCATGCATGGCGGGCGAGGGTGAGGGGTGTCCCTCAGCCCAGCCTTCACCCTCTCCAATCTGGGACCCCTTGAGGGATGTTCGACTGCCTGTTTACAGGGATTGAGCCATGGGGGTGTAGCTCCCCACTGGGGTGCCTGGCCAGCCTGGTGAGGAGTTGATGGATGTTTGAAGGCTGGCTATATCCTCTGGTCACCCAAGCTCCCAGCCCCTCCTTTTTTTTTTTTTTTTTTTTTTAAAATCAATCTTTATTGTTCATATTATTACAAAGGTTCCTCATTTCTTCCCCCCTCCACCAGGTTCCCACCCCACCCTCCGCCCCCTCCCCATCCCCCATTGTCCTCATCCATAGATGCACAGTTTATGTCCAGTCTCTTCCTCCCTCCCTTTCCCCGATAGTAAATCCCTTTTCAGATAGTAAATCAGTTACTTAGCATTTTCTCATATCAATAATACCTCCACATGCCCAAAGATACACTTCACACCAAAGACATTTCCAAATAGATCAACCAACCTCATCCAGGCCCCGCACAAGGCACTCACAGATCAACACCCCAGCGCTATACTAACTCAACATATCCCGATCTAAGCCTTCATCACTTGATTCAGCAGACCCTCAAGTTCCCCCAAAAGTTTCCAGCCATCTCTGAGAGGCAGCCTTGGGGCGGGGGTAGTTGAGGAGCGAGCTATTCCGGGCCTGGCTGCTCTGGGCCTGGCCTCTGTTGCTCTTGTCCGTTCCACAACCAGCTGCTCCAGGTCTGGCCACTGCCGCACCCAACCCGGCTGCTCTGAGCCTGGCCGCTCCCAGCCTGGCAGCTGCTGCTCCGGGCCCGGCCGCTCCCAGCCTGGCAGCCACTGCTCTGGGCCTGGCCACACCCGACCCGGCTGCTCTGGGCCCGGCTGCTCACCCACCAGGCTGGCCAGGCACTCCAGTGGGGAGCTACACCCCCATGGCCCTGGCCGCTCCCAGCCTGGCAGCTGCTGCTCCGGGCCTGGCCACACCCGACCCGGCTACTCTGGGCCCGGCTGCTCCGGGCCCGGCTGCTCCGTGCCTGGCCGCTCCCAGCCTGGCAGCTGCTGCTCCGGGCCTGGTCGCACCCGACCTGGCTGCTCCGGGCCTGGCCGCTCCCAGCCTGGCAGGCGCTGCTCCGGGCCTAGCCGCACCCGACCCGGCTGCTCTGGGCCTGGCCTCCTTTTTTTTTTTTTTTTTTTTTTTTTTTTTTTTTTTTTTTTAATTTCACTTTACTTTCAGCGCCTCCTTGAGCAGACGCCAGAGCTGGCTGGAAGCAGGTGTCTGAGATTTAATTATCTTCTATAATTGAAACTTTGTAGCCTTGAATAGAGGCCAGGGCCAGCCAAGGTGGGAGGGAAGTTTAGCTTCTTCCATCACTGGGGGCAACCCAAGCCTCCTACTCACTCACTTTTTTAATTTGAAAACTATACTAAGAAATACTATTAAGTTTTGTTTTTATAACAAATCCAAATTCAGTATAGTAATCTCTGCATTGAAAAATATTTTCATTCTTCTAATTATTTATAAATCCTTCCCTAATCTTTAAATACATAAAATGATTATTTTTATAAAGTGTAAGAAAAGTACGCTGGAAATGTCTATAGAAATTGTTTATATAACTATAAACCAAATGTCACTTTGCTTTTCACGTGACAAATACATTTTCTTGAACCATGAAGAAAGCACTACCTAGAGGTCTACAAGGGAGGCAGATGTCCACCCAAGGAGGGACTCTGACTTACAATCCTTCAATGGCTATTAACTGTTCTTAGATAAACCACAAGCTTCTTCAGCATGACTTCACGTCCCTCTTGCTTATCTCCCACACTGCATCAGGCTACAGTTGTGCCATGACCAGATTTTAGAAGGAGCCTCCTCCTGGAAATCGTGCAACATGTGTTTCCCGGGTGCCTATCTCAGCTAGGCGCTAGGTCAGAGGTCGGGAATGCTGCAGTCAGGAAAAGACTTGCTCTAGTGGAAGGCCAACATTAAACAAATGCTTATCCATAACTAATTTACTGCAGTCCTGAAGAGAGATAGGGCAGTGGTATTATGGCAAATGATTGCATGCTGGCATGACATAAGTTAACTTCAAGGTGTGCACTTAAGGGTAAGCTGGAGCAGGACTGAGGTCAGGGAAGAAGACTGGGTGAAAATAACTTCTCCAAGCAGACAGGATGTCTCAAAGTGACTGCGAGATAAAAATCTTTAGAGGTAAAAAAGTGAAAACAAATAGGAATGTTTACAAAGTGTTAGAACTAAGCCTGCACAACTCCTTAAGAAAAAAAAAAAAAATATATATATATATATATATATATATCTATCTAAGTGGCAGCCTTTTCCTGAATACCTTTTTGTGTTCTAATCTTGGTCCTGTCCCATAATGCACTCAGTTCATAGGGGTATGCCCTCTCTAAATGGTAATCTGTTATACTGCCACTAAATCATCTTCCCTGTTTCAATTGTTTCACTTCATGATTTAACTTTGAGATATTTAAAAAGGGAAGCATTTACCAGCTCCTTCCATCCATATTAAATGATTGTTGCCATTGTTTCACAATTTGAAAATTCCTTAGGGTCTCATTTT